GCTTGAGCTAAGAAGTTCAAGAAAGCGCTTAACAGGCTAATTCGAGAAATATGGACTCAAGCAAATTCATGGAGGCCCATTGAGAAAAGTCCATGTGAGCCTCAGAATTGCATCAGCCTAATCCAAGTTCTAGAGGACTCTGTCAAAGCCAAGCCTAATCTTTGCAAGTAATGGTCATGAACTTTGGGCGTGAATTCAACAAGCATTTTGGTTCAAATTCATTACTTTCCTTTTTGGGTTTTGGCTTGCATGCCAAGTTTTTTTTCTTTCTTGGGTTGAATTACACAATTTGTGTCAAATCTACTGCAGTTGGCCGCAAACTAATATTTCACAATGTTTTAGGTTATTTTAGCTTATTTTACGTTTTTTTTTTTATTTGGGTTAAATATTCATTTAGTTGAAGCCCAAATTCATGGTTATTAGAGTTAGGACCTGGTTTGTTAGTTTTCTATTCTGGTTAGGATTAGTTTTAGCTATTTATAGGGTTGTAACCCTAATTGTAGAACGAACGATTATTCATCAGCATTGGGAGAATGAGTTCTCTCAGGTTCTTTGAACAACTTTTCGAACTTATCGAAATTATCCATGGTGTTCATCTTCGACTTAACAATCTACCCTTCCATAGTTGATTGTGGCATCTTTTCCATACCAAGGTTCTTACCTCGTCATAGGTAACAGGTCATGGTTCCATCCTCTCAAACTTGTCTTAGAAACTATCTTGGTGCCTTGTCTTGTTTACGGGTTTCGTCACAGGTTGGCGTAGTTCATATCACTTCTGCCTTCAATTCATCGAGTATGGCAAGAGCTAAATCAAGTTCCTCCATTATAATCCCTTCTACTTGAGATTCCTCTTCACCTTCGTAAACCACTTCTAACCAAACTATAGTAGTTGCTCTTTTTGCAAAGTAGGCCACCAACTTCTTGACAATTTTGCCATAGCCTACTGGTTTTCTTTCTTGGTTTTTTCTTTCCTCATTGGATTTCTTCTATGACTGGTTCTGATAAGAACCCCAAAGAGATGAATGAGACTCACAGAACGACCAAGGATTTTTAAACTCCGAGAAAGCCAAATCAGGTTTATGATAGGACCTTGACCCGTTGTTTATGTTGCAACAAGAACCAGAGGTAAAGACCTTGACCCATTGTTTATGACGCAATAATAACCAAAGGTATAGAGTTGATTAACGCCACACCCTCAAACAATTAAGAACGAGAATGATAAGTCAGGTTAGAATGCCACAAGAATAATCTTGTTAAGTTCTGTAAAGTTCTGAAACGAACCAAAGAGAAAAGTCTCTCAAAAACTCAAATTCAATAGTTCCCTCCAATTAGGGTTACAAGCCCTTTAAATAGCGAAAAGTAATTCTAATCAGATTAGGAAATTAAGTCCTAAACCTAATAACCACAAATTGGGTTTCAAATGAATGAATGTTCAACCCAAAAATAATACAAAAAACGTGAAAATCACTGAAAATAACCTAAAGTAACATGAAATATCAATTTGTTACAAATTGCGACAGAATTGCGGGATTTTGACGCAAACTGTGTAATTCAGCATAAATGACCTCAATTAAGCTTCTCTTGAACCTAAATGATGTTTACCATGCCTTGATAATCATCCAAACTTCGATTTACTTGTTGCATGTTGTTACCAACCCAGATCTGCTCAATAAGGCCATTTAAAACTTCTCGCATCTTTCTAGCTCTAGCTCGTGTGACTGGACCTCCTAGAATGTGTAATGGATCTCTTGACGTGGTACATGTGTGGTCATCTTGATTCCCATCATTCCCTCTCTCCTCAAAAGGATTTGTCCTCAAATCATCACCTACATCAAAAGGAGAAAGATCAAAAATATTAAAAGTAGCACTAACATTATAGTCACCAAGAAGCTCCAACTTGTATGTGTTGTCATTAATCCTTGCAATCACTTGAAATGGTCCATCGCCTCTTGGTTGCAACTTAGAATGCCTTTGTGTAGGGAATCGCTCCTCCCGCATATGCACCCAAACCCAATCTCTAGGTTCAAACACAACTTTATTGCGCCCTTTGTTGGCTTGATTTGCATATTGCTCAATTCATTGCTCTATGTTTTGTCACACCCTCTCATGTAGTTGCTTAACCACTTCAGCTTTCTTTTTTCTAGCCAAACTAGCTCATTCATCAATAAGTAATGGCAATAAATCCAAAGGAGGGAATGGATTAAAACCATACACAACTTCAAATGACAAACAGTTAGTTGCTGAATGGATGCTTCGATTATAAGCAAATTCAATGCACGGCAAATATTCTTCCCAATTCTTCAAGTTTTTTTGAATAATAGAACGCAATAAGGCTGAAAACATCCTATTAACCACTTCTGTTTGTCCCTTCAGGTGCTTTAACAACTCATAATCAATATGTATCACGAACTCCATAGGCCAAAGATAATGTTGCCACGTTTCTAAGGCCCTTACCAATGCATACATCTCTTTATCATATGTAGGATAGTTAAGTGCTGCACCAATTAATTTTTCACTGAAAAACGCAATAGGCCGCCGCTCTTACATCAAAACAATGCCAATGCCAATACTTGATGCATCACATTCAATTTCAAAAGTTTTAGTAAAATCAAGTAAAGCAAGTAATCGTGCAAAAATTAAATTCTCCTTAATCAAATTGAAAGCATTCTCCTGTTCACTTTCCCACTTAAATCCGACACTTTTTTTCACGATTTTAGTCAACAGAGTTGCAATTGTGCTGAAGTCCTTGATGAATCTCTGGTTGAAACTTGCCAAACCATGAAAACTTCGCACCTCAAAAATATTCTTAGGTGTTGGCCATTCTTTAATAGCCTTAATCTTTTCTTCGTCTACTGCAATTCCATCAGCTGAGACAACATACCCTAAAAAGACAATATGATTTGTGCAAAAGAAACACTTTTTAAGGTTAGCAAACAACTTTTCTTTTCTCAAAACCTCTAATACCATTCGCAGATGCTCAATATGATCAGTTAAACTCTTACTATATATCAGAATGTCATCAAAATAAACAACCACAAATTTGCCAATGAAAGCCCGCAAAACATGATTCATTAATTGCATTAGTTAATCCAAATGGCATAACTAACCACTCATATAAATCATGTTTCGCTTTAAAGGTTGTTTTCCATTCATCACCTTCCTTCATCCTAATCTGATTATACCCACTCTTTAAATCAATTTCAGTGAATATACAAGAACCATGTAGTTCATCTAACATGTCATCTAATCTAGGAATAGGGTGACGATACAACGTGATAATCAACGTACATACACCGAGTCCCATCCTTTTTAGGCACAAGTAGCACTAGAACAGCACATGGACTCATGCTTTCTCTTACATGCCCTTTTTCATGAGTTCTTCAACCTACTTTTGAAGTTCTTTCGTCTCATTGGGGTTGCTTCAATATGCTGGTCGATTTGGAATTGGTGCACCTGGAATAAAGTCAATCTGATGCTCAATTCCTCTTATTGGTGGTAAACCATTAGGAATGTCCTCGAAAAACACATCCTTGAAGTCCTACAAAAGAGATTTAACAACACTTGGCAAAGAATCATTAAGTTCATTAGTGTTGAAATAAGCATCTTTATACAGAAGCACAAACATAGGCTGCTTTGCAAAGAACGCTGTCTTGACATCACTTTCTTTTGCATAAACACTCACTGATTTCCTTTATTTGTTGTCAACACTCTCAATCTTTTCTTTCTTTTTGGATTCTTTTTCTATTGTTTTCTCTTTGTTTTTCACACCCTCAAGCTCACTCTCATTTCTCAGCTCACTATCTTTTTTTACTCTCTGATGGGAATCAAGACGACAGCATATCTACTACGTCATGTGATCCATTACACACCCAAGGAGGTCCAGTCACGCGAGCTAGAGCTAAGATGCGTGAAGCTTTAAATGGCCTTATTGAGCAGATCTGGGTTGAAAACAACGTACAACAAGAAAATCGAAGCTTGGATGATTATCAAGACATGGTAAACATCATTCAGGTTCAAGAGAAGCTTAGTTGAGGTCATTTGCACGGAATTACACAGTTTGCGTCAAAATCACATAATTTTGCCGCAATTTGTAACAAACTGATATTTCGTGTTATTTTAGGTTATTTTTAGTGATTTTCACATTTTTTTTTGGTACTATTTTTGGGCTGAACATTTGCTTATTTGAAGCCCAATTCGTGGTTATTATGGGTTTAGGACTTAGGGTGTTAATTTCCTACTCTGATTAGGATTTGTTTCCTCTATTTAAAAGGCTTGTAAACCCTAATGGGGAAGAGGCTATTGAATCTGAGATTTTGAGAGACTTTTCTCTTTGGTTCGTTTTAGAACTTTATAGAACTTATCAAGATTATTCTTGTGGCATTCTAACCTGACTTATCATTCTCGTTCTTAATCGTTTGAGGGTGTGGCGTCAACCAACTTTATAGCTCTGGTTCTTGTTGCGTCATAGACAACGGGTTAAGGTTTTTACCTTTGGTTCTTGTTGTGACATAAACAATGGGTTAACAAGGTCCTATTATAAACCTGATTTAGCTTTCCTGGAGTTTAGAAATCCCTTGTCGTGCTGTGGGTCTCATTGTTCTCTTTGGCGTTCCCATCACTCTCAGTTGATCCTTATAAACTTGCCTTGGACTCAATGGTGTAAGAGTAATTGGTTTCCCCTCCATGATGAACAAATAGCGATTTTTGAAGCCATCATGTGTTACCCTCTTATCATATTGCCATGGTCTCCCGAAAAGTAAATGTCCAGCATGCATGGAATGACGTCGCAAGGTACCTCGTCCTTATATTGTCCAATAGAGAATGAAACCAGAACTTGCTTATTTACCTTTATTTCTCCACAATCGTTTAACTATTGCAGCTTATATGGCCTTGGATGCTTTGTGATAGGTAAATTAAGCTTTTTAACCAAAACAATGCTAGCTACATTAGTACAACTACCACCATCAATAATCACACTACATACCTTGTTGTTGATATGGCACCTCGTGTGAAATATATTGTCATGTTGCCCTTCATCATCTTCTTTGGCTTGCACATTCAAAGCTTGCCTGGTGACGAGCAATTGTCCATCGACGGCATATTCCACACCATCATCAGCATCTTCTAGTGGTGGCATAGATTCATCATCAAATTCACCCTAGGTTTCAATTTCTCCATCTTCTATCAAGATCACCGTGTGCTTATTAGGACATTGTGATGCAACATGCCCCTTTCTCAAGCATCGAAAAACACTTGATGTCTCGGTTTTTGCCTTGCATATTGTCAGTTTTACTCTTCTCATTGCTACCAACTTCTTTTGACTTAGATGTTACAACTTTAGGCTTAAAAGTAAAATTTTCTTCCTTTTTGCTCCAATTCAGTTTCCAAGAAGATGAGTAACCAAAATTTTGCCCAGTTCTAGTGGTGGCTCCTTTATGCTTGGGTTGCCGTTTTACTTTCATCACCATATGCACCATATCTTCTAATTCCACATAATGTTGTAGCTTCACCACATTAGCTGTGTCACAATTTAACCCATGCAGAACCCGTGCCATAGTTGCTTTTCTGTCCCCTTCCACATTCGTTCTAACCATTGCGATTTCCATCTCTTTGTGATAATCCTCAATGCTTTTGGACCCTTGAGTAAGGCCCTACAATCGTTGATAGAGATCACGGCAATAGTGACTAGGAAGAAATCATTTTCTCGTCACAGCTTTCATCTCTTCCCAAGTGTCCATAGGACGCTCTCGATTTCTACGTCGACTAAGCACAAGTTGATCCCACCACACCATAACGTAATCAGTAAATTCCATCGCTGCTAGTTTCACCATTTTCTCCTTAGAATGGTTATGGCAATCAAACACCAATTCCACCTTCTTTTCCCACTTGACATACACGTTTAGATCATTTTTGCCTTGGAATGGAGGAATCTTCATCTTGATGCTACCTAAGTCACAATCTGGCCAATCTCCCCACCTCATCAAATTTTGCTCTCCTCGATTAAACCTACTTCTTTGACCCCCTCTACCTTTCATAAATTTGTCCATGCTGAAATTTGAGTTCTGGGCATCATTGTTGAATGCATCTTCATAATTGTCATTGAGATCATCATTAGCATCATTCCTATGCAAATTTGGACTTTCATTCTGTATTTGGTATAACTTGGCTATGGCTGCATCTTGCTTCTCCATTTGACTCTAATCTCACCAAACATGATGCCAGCCTCTAAAATTGTTGCTGCATTTCTTTGAGCATGAAGGATTCATCCACATGGTGTTTTCTAGTGGTTGATTTGTCATCATTGCTTGACATGATTAAACCCTGCAAATAATGTTAGAAACAGAAAATAAAAGGACCTCACAACACTCCCTTACATGTTTCACTCCACTCTCTCACAGAATGGCACTCAACACTGGTGTTTTGTAAACTGTAGAACTTGGCTTTTCTCTCAAGTGTTGCTCACACCTCTTGCCTTTCTCTCTCACTCCACTTTCCTCTTTCAATTTGTTATTGAACTAGACAAGCTCAATTCAAGTTATTTTGCAGCAATCTAACTCTAACAAATTTGCAACAATAGTTGAAGGAAATGAAAAGACAAGAAGGACTGAACAAGTAAAGCAATAAAAGAACCAAACTTAAACAATTTAAAACAAACAGATCAATTCAAGCACTTCCTAGTAGGAATTGACTCGACTATTCTTTAATGCAGTAGGATTCCTAACTTAGGAAGGAATAAACAAAATTGATATCTCCTTGTGAACTCAAAGAGAATTTCCAACTCATTATAGTAGAATTCCTTCTTCTAACTCTTTATTGAAGTAGGATTCCTTCTTTTTTAAGGATTTGACCACAGATTTCTTCTTCATATAAGGAATTCCAACCACAGAATTGTGTTGCTTGTTTCTCTCTCTCCTTTTTTTTTGCATCTTCTTTTTTTTTTTTTTTTTTACGATTTTCTTCCCCCTTTTTTTTATGACTTCTTCCTTTTTTTTTTTTTATCTTATTTTCGTGCTTTCCTCTCTTTTTCTTTTGTAAAACCAGCAACACAAATTTAGAAAAGCAAGACAAATAGAGTTGCAATCAAGAAAGACAAGAATGACACTGAAATTTTTTTTTTTTGGATAATAATAATAATAATAAACTAAAAATTAAAGATACACAAACTTGATTTAGAACCTGGTGCTTTGATACCACGATGATGAGAACCCCAAAGAGATCAATGAGACCCACAGCACAACAAAGGATTTTTAAACTCCAAGAAAGCCAAATCAAGTTTATGATAAGACTTTGACTCATTATTTATGTTGCAACAAGAACTAGAGGTAAAGACCTTGACCCGTTGTTTATGACGCAACAAGAACTAGAGACATAAAGTTGGTTGATGCCACACCTTCGAATAATTAAGAACAAGAATGATAAGTCAAGTTAGAACACCACAAGAATAGCCTTGATAAGTTCTATAAAGTTCTGAAACAAACTAAAGAGAAAAGTCTCTCAAAACCTCAAATTCAATAACTCCCTCCAATTAGGGTACAAGCCCTTTAAATAAGGAAAAATAATTCTAATCAGATTAGGAAACTAACACCCTAAGTCCTAAACCTAATAACCACGAATTAGACTTCACATAAATGAATATTCAGCCCAAAAATAATACAAAAAATGTGAAAATCACTAAAAATAACCTAAAGTAATATGAAATATCAATTTGTTACAAATTGGGACATAATTACAGGATTTTGATGCAAACTGTGTAATTCAGCATAAATGACCTCAATTAAGCTTATCTTGAACTTGAATGATGTTTACCATGCCTTGATAATCATCCAAGCTTCGATTTACCTGTTGCATGTTGTTATCAACCCAAATTTTCTCAATAAGGCCATTTAAAGCTTCTTGTATCTTCCTAGCTCTAGCTTGCATGATTGGACCTCCTAGAATGTATAATGGATCTCTTGACATGGTACATGTGCGGTCATCTTGATTCCCATCAGGTTCCTTCCTTGGCCTCAGAAAAATGATGGCAGAAAGCTAGAGAAGCTCAACACAAACTTCTTCCACTACTTTCTTAGTCATGATTGGCTTATTGTTTGTTGCAATACTTATCAGCTTGCCATTTCTGTCCACACCAATGAAGCAAATGGTGCCAACATCTTTGTCATAATATCTAGCTTCAACCACATGAGAATCAACAATGAATGGCTTGTCATCAATTGAAACTACCTCAGTTTTTGCCCCCATTCTAGAAAATTAATTTTTGGTGTAAAGTAGACACTAACTTGAATGGATCCAATCTCTACCAAGAAGAGCATTGTAGGTGGCTTGAGTATCTCTCACAAAGAATGCTACCATATGAGTTCAGTTCCCAATAGTCAATTTTATTGGTAGAGCTCCTCTAGATCGACTCATGCTCCATGTAACATTACTTATGGTCACTTTTGTATAAACAAGATCACCAAGAGACTTGCCAACCTTGTGAAGCACACCTATGGTCAGAACATTAACAATAGCTCCATTATCAACCAAAGCATGGTTGACTAGTATGCCATCCATATGTGGTTGGATGTACAATGGTCTAATATGCTTGGCCATATGCTCCTCTGGTTTCTCAAACACAATTTTGTCGGGAATGTTTAGTTGGACTAGCTCTTTCTTCCTTATAAGCTAGTACCTCTATCTCCTCTTTTGCCTCAACTTGCTTGCAAGAGGTAGAATTTTCTCCCTGATTTTTTGCTTGAAAAACTAGAAGCAAAGTGATGACTAAGTAAGACAAGTTTATAGAAAAATCACCAAACATGATTGAGTTATCCTTTTCCATGAAACCATCATCTTCATCAAGTTCCAACGCTGGTTCTAACTAAGGCTCAAAAGATGCCTTCAAAATGCCATTTTCATCAACAATGATAAAAGCAACTTTAAGCAAGATAGGTTGGCTTTGTTTCTACTCCATTTCTGTCTAAACAACAACATTCTTCTTTCCTTTTTCTCTTTACACCAGCTTGCATCTGGTAGGAAAACATGGCTCTTAAGCCTGTTTTGCTTTTGCTTCCCTTCTACCAGCTTCCTACGTTTTTTTGCCCTTTTTCTTTGAAGCCTCTTATTCAAGGTTCTAGGATTTCTAACTTAATTTAGAAATTTTGGATGAGTTACCTTTTGCCACCTATTAGATGAAGGCCAAAGGGGCAACCTCACCATCCTTGGTTGTTGTCTTAATTACGCACTTTTGATGAGAACGAACACAATTTCGCTAGGAATTTCTAAGAAAACGTCCTTGCCCCCCATGCCTCATGGAAACACGACAAGTAGGTTGATCAAGTTTGGAACACTTAGCTTTTATCAACTAATATAAATCCTCTTCAGACAACCTTCTTTTGGGATAAGGCGACCTCTTGTTTTCGGCAATGCCCCACAAATCTGCCACACCTGCATTAATAAAAGCACTGGGAAATGAATTGGAATCAACACCGATTGAAGCTGTTAACTTTTCTGAAAATTTGAGGATGCCATAATCAATCTTATCCTACAAGACATTCTGAAAAATAAGACAATCATTACTCAAATGCCTCCCAAAATTGTGAAACTTACAATAAACTTTGCCAAAAATTTCTACTACAGAAGGAAACTTAAGACCTGGTGGCAATTCAATTAGTCCACTCTTTCTAAGGTGATCAAAGATTTCACTAGCTTTATAGATAATGAAAATGTATTGTTTCCTAATTTCACTCAAATAGGGCATGGCAGAAGTTTCTAGCTATTGAGAAACTTTCACAAGCCCAGGATAGACAAATGGTTTTTCTGCCAGAACATCAGCCACATCTAGCTTGAAGTTTGTGTCATTATAATATGTTCCATGTGAAACGGCCTTCCTTTGAGTTTCTTCCTTCAAAAGATTTTCATATCTAGCCACTTTGAAAGAAAGCTCATAGAAGTCACAGAATTCCATCCTTTCAAACTTCTTTCTAAGCTTATTGTCAACACCATTTTGGGCAACGTTAATAAATTCTTACTCAAGTAGAGTAATATGACATTTAAGCTTTACTTTACAGAATCTAGTCAAAAATGCCTTAGAAGACTCTCTAGGTCATTGTGTTAGCTTAGACAGATCTGTAATTGATACTTTTGTCTCACATCTATAAAATTGAATATAAAAGAGATCTTCCATTTGCTGCCAAGAATTATGAGGCAAACTTAAATACTAAGTGCTATTTTAGTAAAAGAATTTGGGAAGAGTCTCAACTTAAGAAAATCATCACAAGATGCTTCACCACATTGAATAATGAATCGGCCAATATGCTCCACAATTGAATGGCCAACATCTCCTGAAAAGAGAGTGAATCTGGCACATTGAAGCCTCTAAGAAAAGGATTTTCTTGATCAATATAGTCCGAATAAGGCTTTTGATATGCAAAACAAACAAAAGGCCTAAAAGCAAGACCATAAGCCTTTTGAACAACATTAATCAAATGCTCATGATTCACAATAGGAATTTCTTGTTCTAGTGAGCTAGTTGATTTTATTGCTACGGAAATAGCAACAAAACTAGCTTGAAGAAATCTCTTTGAAGAGGATTAATATTGACATTATTGTTATTAGGATTCTACCTACGTTGAGGTGGTAAGTACCTTTGTTGTCTGACTTCTAGTTGGTAGAAAATAGCTTCTGACTGGTTGAATTGCATCTGGCCAACACCAAAAACATTGTTCTAAGCATTAGGTACCTATTGCACCACTAAAGGTTGATTGACATACCCCCTATGCCTCTCAAGTAGAAGATCTGGAGAATTCTATTATAGCAGATTTGTTGCTAGAGGTACAGGTTGCCTTACAGAATTTTGTTGCTGTTACTCCATAGTTCTTTTAGAAATTGTAGTAAGAGCTCTACGACTTTTTGTTGCTTCCTTCCAAATAACTCAATAGTTTTCAATAATGGCCCTTTTAACATTACTCATATATCGAGTAAGAAGGTCTACTGATGTTGTTGGACTACCTGAAATTCTCTAGACCAAACAAAACGTTGTGGGAAGTTTCTTCCTATAATTTTCTCAACCGTTGAAGTTCTTGAGAACTCTTACCACTAGATTTGGTTGAATCACCTTTCTTTACATCATCCTTGCCATATATGGGGTTCCCATATGAACATTTAGCAAAAGGAGAAATAAGAGAGGTGCTTCAAATTGTTTTTAGCTTCAAAATGCATTGGATTCACAGGGGTAATTTCCATTTGCAAGCAGCTTTTTTTCCAACTATTCTAGGCATGTTTCTGGTCATCTTATGCCCAAGAAAAGTAAAGAGGGGATCAAAAAACCTTTCTCGATAGACAACTACCTATGGGCATCCCATTGGGCATGCCAATCAAGATTGTTACCCCTAAAATCTTATTGGCCACACCTCATGGCAAAAATTGCAATAAAGGCACGCCATCTACTTTTACAAGAAAAGCAGGAAAAGGATTCACTAACAACCTTCTCTTTCCACTCAAATTTTCCTTATGAAAACATTATTGGAAGAATGTTGTTTAAAATGTAATGCACTCAAATCAAACAATTGGCAAAAATGAGGAATTAATTCCTGCACAATGAGCTCAAACTTGCCTTGGAAGTACATCAAGGACTTTGTCACGCCCCAAAATCTAGAGCGAAACAAACACCATATGTTGTGAGAGGGTCCCATAAATGCATAAGGCTCAGAACCTGCTTAATTCATATTTGGCAATCCACTAAATTAAGATCCATACACTACTAGAAAACTGGGCAAAAACGACAAAACCATATTCGACAGCCACTCGGCTGTCGAATAAAAGGCCATATTCGACACCATTACTGTCGAATAAGGTTGATTGTCGATGATAATCGATTTTTTGGCACATAATCAACAAAAAACTTATTTGACAATTTTTCTGTCGAATATATATAATCGACAGCCAACACGCTGTCGATTATGTTTCTTATATATTCGACAGCATTGCTGTCGAATATACTCGACTTTAACCCCCCGTCCCCCTTCTTTCCCCCATTTCTTCTTCTTTTTCGGCAGCAGATCTGGTTCGATTTCTCTGGCCCTGTTCTTACCGGTGCTGCTAGATTCTGACTTCTTGCCATCGAGCCCCCTGCTGTGTGATCACCTCTAAGCCGGTGAGTTGGCCCCTCTCTGCACAGATCTGGTGCTAATTTTTTTTTTTTTTCCCTTTGATTTACATTCGGGCATTTGCAGATTTCATTGTAGATCCGTGCATTTTGGTGCAAGATCCATCACCTCTAAGCCTCCATGCGCCTCCATCTTGCCTTTTGTAAGTTGCAGCACTCTCTGTTTCTTTTTTTTTTTTCTTTCTTTCTTTATTTTTTCCTTAGATTTTAGTTTACAAAACTTTAATTTCGTTTTTGGTATGTCAAAATCCAGCTTTTACTGCCTTCATTGCCTCCACAGCATTACGATCCCCATTGACAAAGGTAATTGATATTTTTGTGATTTTTTTATACAAAATTTTATTGTTTTATTTGTAGATTAGTGTAGATTATTATTATTATTGTATAAATTATCAGTAAATTTATTAGTACTGTTATTTCTTTCAAGTTTTTGAGATTGAAATTCGTACGTTAATTACTTACTTGAATAGTTTTTTTTTTAGTAAATTTTTATATACAAGGTTATGGAATTTGGATTATTAAATTTGAAATTAAGATTGAGATTGAGGTTTAAATATCTTGAAATAGAGTAATATTTATATTGAATTCTATAGTTACAAATTTGTTATTTATTTCAAATTAGCTCAATTGAAGAGATTGATATTGAGATTGAGATGTGCATTATTATTGAATTAAAATGATATTTAAATTGAATTTTTATATATCAAATTATTAAGATTAAAATCGATATGGTAATTAAACTAGAGCACTATTTAAATTTAATATATATATTTATAAAGTTACTAAATTACTTATATTAAGATTAATATATGTATGATTGTTGAAATATAGTAGTATTTTTATATATTGAATTCATATACATAAAGAAATTTAATTTAAAATTATTAAGATTAGGATTAACATGTGTGGTTATTGACATGTATGGTTATTAGTTGATATGTTAATATACTTTGTCAAATTGAAATTCAAATTAGGTAATTAAATGATGGATGATCGTAGTTGGATAGATCGTCGTGTGGATGATAGTGGTTTTGTTACTGATGAATTTAAAGAGGGGGTGCAATTTTTTGTGAGATTTGCATTTTCAAGACCGAAAGCAAAATCAGAGATTAAGTGTTCTTGTTCGAAATGTAAATGTAGAAAATGGGGGAATCCCGAGGTCGTCTCTGTGCATTTGTGTAAGCATGGGTTTATGAATAACTATTATACATGGTATGTTCATGAAGAGACGTCTAGTAATACAATAAGAAACTTTGAATGGGAATCTTCTAATATGGAGTTTGTTAGAAATGAGGTAAATGCATTATACCATGAAATGGTAGTTGATGCGATGAGTGCACAGTTTGAATACAATGACGAGCCAATGGCTGAGGAGCCAAATGGTAAGGCAAGAGAATTTTATGATCTCTTGCATGCTGCAGAAGTCCATATAGGTGCTTGGAGACAAGATGTTACAGTACTTTCATGGATGGCAGAAATGCTAAACATGAAATCTCTTTATAATATGAGTGCTGCTAAATGAGTGCTGCTAATTGGGAAATGGCATTGTCATTGAGTCGAAAGTTGTTGAGTCCAGAGGACCAAGAAAAAGTGCCAAAGGATTTCTATAGTGCAAAAAAATGATAAATGTGCTTGGACTTGGGTACAAGAAAATTGATATTTGTGTCAATGATTGCTTTTTGTACTATGATGAGCAAAGTAAGAATTTAACTGCTTGTCCAGTGTGTGGAGAATCTCGTTATGAGCCAAGGAATATGTCTGCTATAAGGCAGAAAGATGTTCCAAGGAAATCTGATGAGAACCCCAAAGAGAACAATGAGACCCACAGCACGACAAGGGATTTCTAAACTCCAGGAAAGCTAAATCAGGTTTA